GCAGCAGTAGTAGTTATGGTCGTAAAAGAAACAGTATTAGTAGTAGTAGTAGCCCCGCCATCCGTAATATTACCAATTACACACTAATGATTAATAACAAGTAACTTAATGCTAATCCAACAACACCAACAGAGGACTAGCCTGTACAAATAATGAAAAAAATGTACTAATTAAACTTGTATGTAATGTCTTATATGTCTCTCTCTATCTATCCATCACTTTTTCTCTCTCTCTCTCTCTCTCTCTCTTTCTCTCTCTCTCTCTCTCTCTCTAGATATATATATATATATATATACATATACACAGGAATATACATATATATATATTGATTCTTGGAAATATAAAAGTAATTATGAATTAAGTCGGTTACCTTCACATCATCATCAACATCGTCATCGTCATCAACATCATCAGCGTCATCAACATCACCATCGTCGTCGTCATCATCATCACCATCATCGTCATCATCATCATCCTCACAGCCTAGCCAAGAAGGAGCTAAAAAATATACATCGCTTAAGCAAGCGATCATTATTATGTGATTGTAATAACACAATCATACAATCATATATACAGACGAAATAATGGACAAATAAACAAAGGCATATGCGTATGTACGTGCGTATGGTTGCATATCTGTGTGTATGTGCGTATGTCTGTGTGTGTATTCGCTTATATGTATGTCTGTGTTTATGTATGTATGCGTGAAAATAAATGTTAATGGTGTATTGGTGCATTATTGTGTATATTTAAATATATTTCAGTGTACGTGTGTGTGTGTGTGTGTGTGTGTGTGTGTGTGTGGTTGTGTGTGAGTGTGTATGTGCATGTGTGTGTGTGTGTGTGTGTGCACGTGTGTGTGTTGGGTATTTAGGTACGTACATAATACACACTCGTCTCACTTATCCCTTCGCATTCTTATATGGTCTCCAGACGGCGCAGATACAGATGCTAATGAATGGATGGATGAATGGATGGGTGAATGAATGGATGAATGGATGGATGAATGAATGAATGAATGAATGAATGAATGGATGAATGAATGAATGAATGAATGAATGAATGAATGATGATTGACTGAATATATTACAAATCAGTGAATGAATGTTCATTTACTAGTCATTTGCCTGTTTAAATTTTATTAATTAACCAAAAAACAAACAGATTTAAGCCGAAGATCAATGAAGATTTAAGCGACTCCTTTTAAACATACACACGCACGCACACACACACCACACTCACACCACACACATACACACACACACACACGAAGAAAGAAACACTTAACCAAACACTTAAACACACGCACACACGCACACAGACATGATTTGTACTACGTCTGTCTGTCTACGCAGACATGCAAATATGATATCAACGAATGTTTACGTTACGGATACCAGCGCAGCACACACACACACACAGACACACAGACACACACATATACAAACACACACTGACATGTGGATTTACTGATGAAGACCATTGTATAGCTATCTTTGATTTCAGTGCATACATATGCCTTTAATTCAATCACATATGTTATATGAATCATGTATACATACACACGTACACACATACATATACACACTCACATACATACACAAACAAATACACACACACAAATATACACACATACATAGAATTTTTATTTTACAGCGCATAATTCCATAGTAAATTTAATAAGTACCACACACGGATATCAATAAAGACAGAAAGAGAAAGAGAGAGAGAGAAATAGAAAGAAAGTGAGAGAGAAAGAGAGAGAGAGAGAGTGAGAGAGATGGAGGGAGAAAGAGAAGGAGATAGAAAGCGAGGGAGAGAGAAAAAGAAAAAAAAAAGATAAATACAAAATGGAATATCAAATAAATATAAAAATAATTTTTTTGAACAATTCCTCAAAAAATACGTGGCCGTGTGTGACCCTAACTGTTTCAAACTGATTGGATGATTCGTCTTATTCATCTTCTTATTGTTGCGGTTTTCCTATTATTATTAATATTATTTTATTATTATTATTGTTGTTATTATTATTACTGTTGTTGTTGTCAGTGTATGATGATGACGATTATGTTGATGTCTTCTTGGTGGTGAGGATTTTGATGTGATGATGTTTCGGCTTTTGTTGACATATTTATATCATCATTATCATCGTCATTGTTATCATTATGATTATTATTATGAATGTTGTTATTATTTTTGTTATTATTTTTATTTTTCTAGTGGCGTACATTTTAATACCCAGCCAGTGTTATTTATCGTCCCCTTTTATTACACTTGCCCGCGTTATTGTAACTTTATGTTTACCTATAATTTTTTCAGTTTATTATTATTATTGTTGTAGTAGTAGTAGTTGTAGTAGTTGTTGTTGTAGTAGTAGTAGTGGTGGTAGTTGTTGTTGTTACTGATGTTTTTGTTAACCTAGTTATCGTTATGATGAAAATTATTGATGATATTATTCTTCTTAAATTTTGTTATGCATGTATGTATGTATGTATGTATGTATGTATGTATGTATGTATGTATGTATGTATGTATGTATGTATGTATGAGTGTCTGTTTTTTTATGATCAATCATTTGAATTAATTTATTTGCTTTTGGACAAGTTGGCCTATATAAGATTGTAAGTACTATTACTGCTACTACTACTACCTCTAAGACTACTACTACTACTGCTTCTGTTGCTACTACTACTACTACTACTACTTCAACTACAACTTTTACTGCTGCCGTGACTACTACTACTACTAACTATAACACTAATACTACTATTAAGCTTTTTACTACTACAGTTACTATCACTATTACTTTTAATAATAATAATAACAACAACAACAATAACAAAAAATAACGAACTACTATCAAAACCACCAAAGACTAAGAATGTAAAACAGTAAAATTTTTATAGCGCGCATTAACAAATTTTTTATGATCGTCGTCACAGAATCCATTCAAGCCGTGATTAAGACCTTACATTGATGTTATTACTATGTTGATGTATTTGCGATGTTCAAGCCTTCTTTTGTGTCTTTGTTTTTCTGTCTTTGTTTATTTTTAGTTGTATCTTTGTATATTTTTCTTTATTTTTTCAAATGTTTTTCGGGTTAATTCGTTAATTTTTTCGTGCTTATGCTTTTATTATTATTATTATCATTATTATTATTATTATTATTATTTGTTAACGCATTGTAAGAACGCTAACCCGTAGCGTTATGTTTTGATTAGGCGGCTTCTTTTTTGTGATTGATGGATGGCTAACAGGAGAGACAAAAGAACAAATGAATGAATGAGTGATTGAATGAATGAATGCTAGACGAATATATGAATGAATGAATAAAAATTTAGTGAATAAACGAACGAATATGGATGCGAATGTAATTGGATGGATGAATGAATGAGTGAATGAATGAATGAATAAATGGATAAATAAATGGATGGATAGAAAGTTAGATGGATGGAAAGATACAACAGTAGATGCGTGGTCGAATGAGTAATAACAAACCTTCAAGCAACAACATTAACACCAACAACACCAACACAACAACAAACATCAAGCAAATACCACATCAAAATCGTAGCAACAACAACAACAACAAAATCATCATTAACATCAATAGCAACATCATCATCATCATCATCGACAACAACAACAACAACAACATTTTATCTCGATAACCCACCCCGCAAAAAACACACGAACATGTAAACATAGATATGGAACACGAAGAACATAAAATATAGAACATTAAATTAACAAGACCTCGTAAATATATACAAAGAATAAATACTTATTTTTTGGTTGATACATAGCGCTTAACTTTTATTTATTTAGTGCTTAACATTCATCATAAATAACAACGAATCTAAAAATTAATTCACAAGAAACTGCATTCCTACAATAAGTCATTAAGCGCATTATAAATGAAAAAATGAATGAATGAAAAAAAAATGGATGAATGAATAGATGGATAGACAGATAGATGGATGGATGGATATATAGATAAGTAGATAAATGAATGAACAGATAGATAGTTAAATAGCTAAATAGATAGAAGATACATCAGTGAATGTGACCATAGACATAACTCGCCATAGACACGCAATAATCACTAAAAGTATTCCACCAATTATCACCCATTTATTAGTAACCATTATCACCCAAATCATCCATTATCACCCAACATCATCCATTTTTTACCCATTGTCCTATAATCACCCATTTTCACTCACCATAGACATAAACAAAGATATGAAAGTAGTTGGCGCCGAACCCATTCGTGGCTTTGCAGGTGTACATTCCCCCATCTTCAACTGCCACCGACCTGACCCTGTACGTTCTGGTTGGCTGGTTTTGGTGATGATGGTGATGATGATGGTGATGATGATGATGACGGTGATGATGATGATGATGATGATGTGGACGACGATGATTGTAATGATGATAATGTTGATGATAATGACAATGTTTTTAGATAACATTTTCAAAAAATTCAAAATCTGACAAACGCAGAAACTGTTACAGTACGCAAGGCTATAGTAACGATGTTGTTTGTCACAAAAATTTATAACCAATCACCACAAAATTATACCCCATGCCCTCATTAATATTCAAAAAACCCACCCACCTTTAATCCGTCAACCAATCGCGTGAGAATAGCCTTGTGGTCCTTGAGCCATAGAATTTCGTTGACCGTATTAAGGTCAACTGGACATGTTATTTTGAGGTCACCGCCCTCTTGAACTGTTATTATTTTTGTTATTTTGTCGTCTCCGATGTATTCGAGTTGTTGTTGTTGTTTTGTCGTTCTTATTATTGCTGCTGTTGTTGTTGTTGTTGGTTGTTGTTGTTGTTGTTGTTTGGTTGGCGTTTGAACTGGTCTGAGAATATCAGATGTCGTTGCTAATGGTGAATTGTTTTTGTAAATATTATTATTATTATTATTAGTAGTTGTAGAAGTAGTAGTAGTAGAAGTAGTAGTAGTAGCAGTAGTAGTAGCAGTAGCAGCAGCAGCATCATCATCAAAATACCCTAAACAGTCAATACCGCAATACAATTATTTCTAGAGTTACAATACAATCAACGTCAGTCAATCAATCATCTATACGCACATATACATACAAACATATATACAAACAAACAAACAAACAAACATACACACATACATACATACATACATACATACATACATACATACATACATACAAACATACATACATACAACATAGCATACATACATACATTCACACATACATACGTACACATATATAAACACACATGCATACAATACATACAAACGTATGTATGTATGTTGTATATGAGTGTATTGTATATGTGTGTGTGTGTATGTGTGTAAATATAGTTGTGTGTAATATGTGGTATGTCAATCAAACGGTTTGTTATTCCGTTGGACAAATTCCTTTGTTCGTCTATTCATCCATTTATTCCCACATTCCCTCATTGTTTATTTGTTCATTCATTTGTTCTTCATTCTTTTATCCAATCATTCGTTTGTTAATTTATTTATTTATTCATTTATTCATTCTTTCTTTCTTTCTATCCGCTATACATTCCAAATTTGTCTGTTGATTGATCCAACCACCCATTCATCTGATCAAACTTGTAATCAATTTTTGGTTTGTTGTGTCATTATTCTTTTATATTATTTGCCCTTTACTTTTCTCTTCTCTCGTTCATTGGTTTTTTCATTCGTTCGTTCATTCGTTTGTTCGTTCATTCGTTCGTTCATTCATTCGTTCATTCGTTTGTTCGTTCATTCATTCGTTCATCCTTAATCTGTTCGCCTCCTTCCCGTGTCAATCAATCATCGACCCTTCTTCCATCCACTACTTATTTATGAATTTCATTCATTCTTTCATTTATTCTTTTATTCATCGTCATCATCATCGTCGTCGTCGTCTTCATCAAAATTCAGAATGGGCCGATATTAATCTGTCTAGCTACTTTGCTAAAGAAAGATGACGATTACGATAACAACAACAATAATAATAATAATAATAATAACAATAATAACATTAATAATAATAATAATAATAATAATAATAATAATGAATGGAAAATAACAGAGAGAGAGAGAGAGAGAGAGAGAGAGAGAGAGAGAGGGAGAGAGAGAGAGAGAGAAACACGGAAATACAACTGTTATTCATTTTAATTGAGTGTAATAGTATTAATTATTATTTCTAATTAATATAATTAATATTGTTTATTATAATTATAATTATTATTATTATTATTAATTTCATAATTTAACAAGTTTAATAATTGCATGTCCCACATTCATCTTCATTGTTGGCTGTTATTGAAGCTATTGTTATTGTTGTTGTTGTTGTTGTTAATGTTATTATTGCTGTTGTAATTGTTGTTGTTGTATTGTTGTTGTTAGTGTTGTTATTATTATTGTTGTTGTTGTTGTTGATGTTATTCTATAAAACAATTTTACTTTAGTTAAGAGTAAGATTATACAGGCTAAATAACACATACTAGACGAATAAGTGAATGAATGAATGATTGATTGAATTAATTAATTAATTAAAAAAATGAATGAAGAAATGAGTGAACGAATGAATGAATAAATAAGTGAATGAACGAATGATCGACAAAAAAAGGAAGAAGAGAAAGATTGAATAAAAGAAGGAATGAGTAAAAAAATAACTATGCATGAAATTTATATTCTTCATCTGGTTTATGTAATTTTTTATTTTGATGTAACACCCACACTCGTTTATACGTTCGTTCATTCATTCATTCGTTCATTCATTCATTCATTCATTCATTCATTCATTTGTTCATTCATTCATTCATTCATTCACTCGTTCAATAATTCACTCCTCAATATATCATAGTAATTATATGTTTATAATATTATTCATAATACTATAATTACTATTACTATAATAATAATATTAATCCTTACTTGGTGAAGTATAACATAGTAAAGGCTTGAATGACGTCACGGATAACCATAACCACAACAACAACAACAAAGATGATGGCGATGAAATAGACATTATGGAAAAACAATGTAATTTTGTTATCTTGATGTTGTTGTTGATGTTGTTGTTGTTGATGTTGTAGTTGATGATGTTGTAGTTGTTGTTGTTGTCGATGTTGTAGATGATGCTTTTGTTGATGTTGTTGTTGATGCTGTTGTTGTTGCTGCTGCTGATGCAGTAGCAGTAATAATAACAATCGAAATTAATAATAACAATAATAATAAAACAACAACAACAATAAATTATACTTTATTAACGTTAATTACGAGTCATATATTGTGCATCAACTCAAAGATAAAAATTTAACTAACGGCAATAAATATACCTACATAATAATTAATTGTATAATTATATCTATTATTATTAATATTAATATTATTATTATAATTATTATTATAATTATAATAATTATTATTATAATTATTATTAAGACAATCGACTATTACAGCACCACGTTCTCATTGTATTATCGTAATAACCCATGCCTTCCT